GAAAATTTTCTTTGCAAAGGAATTGCTGGAGCTTACTGGACTGGAAACTTTAGGGATAAGAGATCGTGGTATAAGTGGTTCCAATTCTGAGCAGATCTGTGAACATGACCTAGACCTTTGCTTCTGTGGTCACAGACTTAAATTATTAATGGCAATGAGTAGTTTTTGGTCTCTTACCTTTAATCATTGAATCACAGAATATCCTGAGTTGGAAGGGACCCAATAAGGATCATCAAATCCAACTCTTGGAGGTATTTGACTTTAGAAATGAAGAGAATGATTCTCATTAACAACTACCCCCACTCTTGAGTAAATTAAACCATCTAAAGAGAAAAAAAGACAAAAACATAAAGCCACCAAAAAAATCTGCTTTTGAAAATGTTACTCAAATCATCTGTGAACTGCAAGGCTCTTCCTGTTTGTACACAGACTCAACTGCTTTTGGAAGTAAGTAAAGGGTGAGATGTGGATGGAGCAGGAATTTTTCCTCATGAGGCTATCTCTCCTTTGTAACAACTGGGGGAGTGAAAAGTTCTCTGAGAAGCCCTGAGACATTCCAGAGAAAGAGGTGGTTTCCCAGAAATTCTGCAAAGCCCCCGGCCTGCACACGGCCAGCATTTCTACACCGCTCTACACACAATAGCCAAAAAGTGCAATGCAAATATGACCAGCCTCTCCAGTGTTCCACTAGGAGTTTGCCTTCATTGCAATTACTGCAGTTGGATTAGATGATCTTGGAAGGTCCCTTCCAACTGAACTACTCTATTCTGCTCTGGCAGATTGGCACTCAACACCTCAGTCACACTGCTCAGCAAGCCCTGTTTGATAGAGTCTATGACGCTGACCTTACGTTCCCCATTACTGTTAGCAGCACTTCTGGAGTCGTACCACATCCAATCACGTGCTGTCAACACACAACGGTCTCCAAGCAAGACTAATACAAAGGAAAAACATTCCTAAATTCCAATCCACACCCAACCATATAACCAATTTGCAAGATAATAATAATAAAAAATCAGGATTTGGGGTAGCAACCACCACAGATCTGAATTAGTCACATGTTCATAGCTTAGTACAAAGCCACGTACTTCTGGCCCCCTACTAATCTGCTGCTCTAGTTTGGGAACAAAAGCACAAACCTTTAAATGGAGCAGGTGGTGGCACAAAGTAGTTCATTTTTGGATGCACCATAAGTGGAATATCTTTTCCAACACGTGGTGAGCACAACCGTCCTTTCACTTACACACTGCAGTCCCACTCAGACCACACCGTTTGGTACTACCATGCACAGCAAAATTCATCCATGAAAATCACACTGTCCACGATGTCCATCATAAATAAATAAATACCAAGCACCAAAAATCTCAAAAGCCTGGCCAGGTGTCAAAAAACGGTGTCAATTCTCATCCCTGAATTCAACCATATTCTCTGAGTTGCCTTGACAAACTACCCAGGGATACGTATCCATAACGGCTTCTTCATTTATCTTAGCTTTTCCATTCTAAAATAAATTAGTGGCACATAATTTCTAAGTTGTGACATGAAGAAGAATTAATTTGCTGCTCTTCAGTATCTGAATAGATTTACAGGTAAAGGATTCCCCAAGGAAACACTGACCAGCATGGTGCTTCACTGGCTCATATACTTCTGGGTGCAGTATGACTTTTCAATATAATTCCAAAGTGAACACAGAGGTAAAATGTATTCATATTTCTGTATTTCTAATAATGTTCTCTCTGGAATGTCAAAGCTCAAAATTTAAGAAATAACTGCTCTGCATGTGCATGCTAATACACTGCTTTGCAGATGGGAAATAGAAAAGTCTTCTTGTAAAGCACAGAGCTACACTGGTATATTTCTTCCAGAAATAATTACAAAATCCAGGATTTCTCTGTATATATGTGACTTTGATTCTTAGATGGCACATGGACTACTTAGAGATCACGTTACTAAGTTAGCTGCAGTTAATGGGGAAAAAAAGGCTAAAATTAATGGGTCACTAGGTATTTTCTTCTGAGAACTTAAGTACTTAACAGTAAGAAAAAAACAGTTTACAGCCAGGTGGCTTGAGGGGATATTTTGTTGAACGCTGATTAAAAATAATTTCTTCTAAATGAGACCTGACCACAAAATGGGTCCATTAACGAGCAGGGACATTCTCACCAGAAAGGAAACTACGCTTGATCGACTCCTGCACCGCCCACAAACCCCAGGTCTTTTTCTCTCTCACACACACACACTCTCTTTTATTTTTTCCTTCTTCTCCTCTCCCCTTTTCTTGTTCTTAATAGCAGGGTAAATAAGCAGCAAGTGATGCCGAAATGTTTTCGGCCAAAAACAGAGGCCAAACTCCTCTGAGAAAACATTTGGCCTCTGTGGTTTTGTAATATGTTCCAGAACACTGAGTTCACTGAAGAACATTGTGAAAAACTCCCATCGGCTGCAGTGATGCTGGGGAATGTTACTGCATCCCAACTTCCAATTGGTCCATTTCCTGCAGGCCTTGTTAAAAAAAAAAAATAAAAAAAAAAAAAGGAAAAAAAAAGAAAAAAAAATAGTGCTATGTGGGAGTTAAAACAAGTTCTCATGGGAAAAATGAATGGTAAGAAATTCTAGCTTTAAAAGAAACAGCTAATCTGCTAGTTTGATTGTTCTTCAAAACTTACAATGAACCAATAATCCTAATTAAAAACACTTGGCCTAGTTCTCTAAAGCATCATAGCTTTTTCTATGCTTCGTTTGTACACACCATAGACTATTAGTTTTTTTCTAGTGCTCACTAACAAAGTGCTGACTTTGTTGGGATGGCTGAGCTAATTTCGTGAACTCAGTGTGAAACCTTAGCTAAACAAAATTGTGGTAATTTTCCTTAATTTGTAGAAGTGATTGGAGTGCAAACAAAATTTTCCTCTTGGGTCAATCCTATAATTTTCAATTAACTAAAACTAATCGGCAGGCGTGTACCGAACCTGCATTTTGTTTAAAGGGCTGGAAGGCACTTCTGAAGGTCAGGATGCATTAATTGTTTTTATTTTAGTTTCATTTAGTCCTTTAAAAAAAAAAGACACATTTAAGATCAGGCTGCCTGTGAAAGGATTGAAAAGATGCAAATTGTGGGAGGTACCATTTCAGTCACAACAGCATTTCCATATCCACCCCCACTCCATAAAAGCTGCGTAAGTGCAAGAATTGTCCATAGATTGGATCACCTTTGATTCTGTCATTGTTGTTTAGTATTTCATAACTTTTGTTTATTGAATGAAAAATCATGTGTTTCAAACACTAACCTGAAAAGGCATATATGGAAATACTTTCCCTACTGGGACAACTTATTTCCACATTCAACCATCTGCTTTTGGGCAAGCAGGCTAAACTGCCATTCTTCTTTCTCCTAGAAAAGCTATATAACAGTGATCTGAAAAGAAAAACAAAATGGGTCCGAGCCATTTTACCATTTAAATTGCATAAAGAAGTCCCCATAAATTTCCTTGTATAGTCGAGAAGGGTCAGGTTTCCTCCCTGTCTCTCACTTCGCATGCACACTTTCCATTTCACTGGCCAAACTGCAGCCAGCCCAGTGGCTTACCAACAAGCAGGAGAGCACAGCTTACTGTACGCAGTCAGGAAGGGAAAGGATTCACAGTGAAACTGTCCAGAGCTCTGGCTGACACCTTCATGTGGTGCACGCTGCCAATTTGCACCAGCTGGCAATTTCACCCTTTTCCTTTTTCTTTTGTTCCAGCACATTCAAACCCTAAGTAACTTTATGGTATGATGCATTATTGTTCAATGTATGAACTTCCCACACCATGTTGAAATCATACCACTCACAAAGAACACACAGCAAAGTCTGCTGCTTAGTGAATAAGGCAATAGGTGAATACTAAGTCCCACAAAACAAAACAAAATAAAACAAAAAAAAACCCAGCACATAATCCCAAACAGAGGAGAGAGCATTTGCAAGAAGAAAGCTTATATATCACCTTTGTTCAACTTGCACTGCATTAAAGAAATCTAATGAGAGCTTTGTTAATCAGAGCACAGAAGTCCATCCTTTGCCTTGAACTCCTGGGTGTACACTCCCAGCTGGATAAATGTACGTGCCCAGTGTAATTCAGAATGATCCATAATATGTACTTATGTGGCGTATTATTCTTAAAGTTTGAGGTGCAGTCAAAGATGAGGCAAGGAATTGCACTGGATTGTGATGATGTTCTTCAAGCAAACAGTTACAGAAGCAGTAGCCCTGTCTGCACTACGGCTCAAACAACAAGCACATCCAAACCTGGAGCAAGTTGTTAATTCTCAAAGCATGCATAGCTTCCAAGGAATCAAAGATACAAGTTTGTTTGTTTGCTTTAAAAGGTAGGCTGCTACTTGGTTTATTTCCCATGCCATCTATATTACTGCTGAGAGTGATTTAACATCTACATTACCGTAATGTCTTAGCAGTTTTGTCAATACCTCTTCAGGCCAGAGCACCCTTCTCAGTGGTCTCAGTATGGGATGCCAGCCCAAAACACAGCAAGTCATCATGTCTGAAGCACTGACCGGGGTAAAAGCCACATGGCCCCCACAGAAGCCAGAAGTGAGTACGTTATAAGGAAATGGGAAGGCAAACAGGCTGTGCTTTCAATACTTGCTGGGCCCTGGTACAACATGAGATGCAGATTTTTAGCAAGGCTATTTCTTGGAAAGCAGGTTTGTGAACACACTGTGTGTCTGGCTCATTTCTTCACACCCGTAGCTCCCAGGTAAAGAGATGCCCTACAGCGAGGACCAACAAGCAAACAAACACCCCACACTGGCATGCCTTCTGATTCATCTCTATATTCCTCCATTTCAGAAATTCAACTTTATATTGGTATCTTCAATGACGTGCTCAGCCCAAATAATAAAATATGGTACAGCTTTTAATGATGAAAGCTGAAGCCCTAGTGAGCATGATACATTGCCTACCCTATTTCTCCACATTATATCTGGCACTAAAGCATCCTTACCTGTGTAAATGAATCTTCCAGGCGTTCCCTTGCAAAACTGCTTAGACTTGTAGGACAATGTGACTTCTACAACCCCTGGGATATGTCGGGGAGGTGTCTGTACGCGGATGGCATGAGGAGTAATCAGCTAGAGGAAAACATTGAGAAGAGAAAAGAGGGGGGTGGGGGGGAAAGCACTGTTAGATGCTGAACACTTCTTTAATAACACTTTCCTCTGAGATCACAGTAAACAAGCTTTGAAACATGTAATTAACCTGTCAATGTTTGAATACAGTCACAATGTAACCCACACAAAAGCCAGAGACTGCAATATTTACAAGCATTTTCCCTTCTCATCCAAAGCAACATTATTTCTGTTTTCATACATGGCAGATGCTCGCTTCCTAGCACAAGCATTAGCCCTGGTTTAATGCAACAGCTTTAGCTTACACCAGCAAGATGCTCACATTTGCTCAGGTGAACTCCAGGGTCATGACAGTGTCCAGCAAACCTAACTGATAAATGATGCATGGTTCTGCATGTGACATCCCTTCAGCTGAGATTGGCTGCCCAGTGCAAGCTCAGGCAGGCTTTTAAAACTGGTCCCCAGCTGACATCTGTACACTGCAAAAGCACCATGTGCTGCAGTTTTAATTAGAGACTCTTTCCTATTCATTTTCTGGAGGCATAACTGATTACCGCAGAAATGCAAAGTTGGGTTTCTGAAGTATGCAGGGTGTTTCCTTGCAACTGATCAAAGCCCTCAAAAGAGGTGTACCAAATATAACCATTTATCCATTTGTTCCAGTTTGCATCTACTGACACAGTGGCTGACACTGATACTGTGGCTGACACACCTCTGAGAGGTCTCCTCTACGTGCAGGTAATAAATAGGAAACTTAACTTCCTTGCTAAGAGGATTAGTGCTCTTGTACTCCACACAGAAGGATGGGACAGTGCTTCTCATCCTGGACTCTGTTAGGATTATTGGCTGGATTTAAAACACAGTCCTTGAAAATAACATTAGAACCATTCAGGAGTTCACTAGTTTCTTGCACTTTAACTCAGAATTTTTGCTATGTTCAGAAACTACAGAATTGCTCTCCCCATCACTGAAATGTCATTTTCTCACTCATTCTGCCACCTCAGGCAGGAGAAGTAAAAAAGGTACATAGAAAAAGTGCCATGACTGTATCCAGCAAACAAGATACAGCTCTGGCACATGCACTACCCTACTCTTGGGCACCTTAAAACACAACCAACCAGGCCCACAACCACCCCAGTCAGTGATCAAAGCCACAGGTACCCTAAGCAGACAATAACTCAGAGCTGTCAGCTGACTTACATCCTGGATTAGGGAATACAATTTAATGCCTTTTTAAAAAAATTTTTATTTTTTTAATAAAAGCTGACTTAGACTTTATTTTTAACCAGGAATGAAGTATTTCAAAATCACAGTGAGATCCTATAAAAAAATTAGGCTTCTAAGCAGGTCATCGTTTAGGGCACAGGACTGTTGCTCCAAGCATGTATCACGAACTGCCAACAAAGCTAAAATTCCCAAATAAAGCAGTCTGTAAAAACACAAAACAAAACAAAACACAAAAAAAAAAACAACAAAGAAGGAGAGGAATGTCTGCCTCAGAGCCATCTGTGTTACGGCAGGAAATGGCATTCACAGTAGGAAGTTCTCCATATTTAAAATAAGAAAATTAGTATTAGATCAAGTTGAAGATTAAAAACAACACTACCAGCATCAAATATTCCAAACGTTATTCAGTTCCACATAAATTATAGGATCAGCTCCCAACCCATGTCATTTTAGAAATGATCACATAAGAATCAATGTTCTTGTCTGAGAGCTCCAAAGAGATCTTTGAAATTACATGATTTAGGAACTTATTTTTGAAAGGAACATGCCTTTTTCCCCAAATTACTCACTCTATCTACTGGTCAAAACAAACAAACAACTCTGAGGATCCCTTTTACTTAAACTGAGTTGCCTTAAAATTGAGCTGACCAAAGTCACAAACTCTAGGCTAATGCTCTACATGCCCCCGATCGTCAGCAGAAACACAACAATAATTTCCTTCCATGGTTGTAGACACCTCTCAGTTAGCATAAGCTGCTCCCTGGAAGTATCTACCTTTCTCCAGTTAACCAAGGTGACAAATTTAGATGCTTAACTGTAGGCAGCCAAGCATAGCTGAGATAAATCCCACCCTCAGGTAGTTGTAGTCAGCTGGGTGGACTGGCAAGGTGAGAAAAAAATTCATGACATTTTCAGAGGAAAAAATGATTGTAAATACAGCCAAGGATTTTAATAGTGCAGATTAACGTGCTAGTCTTACTGCACCAGTGTGTGCCCCTCACCCCCATTCTGGCATGAGCTATACGGGCAGCTTCTGGTTGTATCTTTGAATTTCCCAACATTTACTGGTCTGTCACCACTTTAATGTTCTTTAAACATAATTTGTGGCATTTTCCAATACTCATCTTCACTGGTTCCCAAGAAATGTCTGACCTATTTATGGTCCATTGTTACAGAGAGCTGGGGAGAGTTAAGCAAGTTTCCTGGTTTGTTCTCCACAAACAGTTTGGTTTTCCTTTGTGCTCTGAAGTAAATAAGTTTAACTGTGTTTAAAACCACAAATATACAATACTGTCTCCCACACATTCCCAAAGGGTGAACATTATGTCTAAAGTTATATGGTTTAGGATAATCAGTATATATTTTATTCCTCTCTTCTCTGGAACTGAAGTCTGGAAGATGTATGTGGAGAATACACGTTCCTCTTCCTTTAGCTTTTTCTCCTTACCTCTACCACTGACCACTATCAGGAATGCAGCACTGAACTAGAAGTACCTGACCTTCTGGGTCAAATTTGGTTCTCATGCCCACAGAAAGGGAACTAGCTAACTTGGTTACATACCAGTATTCCCCTGTATTGTTGCTGGCTCAAGAAATTGTATTTCAGAGACAAAAAATGTCATTACACTTAGAAACCTGTCCTCTGAATCCACCTCTGTTCTTGAACTCTGGTTCCCCAACACCATCAGGGTACCATTCTGAATTTGTTTTGCTGTCAGTGTGATTCACAGGTGCTGCATGGATCTGGGTGCACAGCCAGAGCAAATCTACCCCTAAATCTCAACTACTCCAGAACTGTGGCATATTTTTCTGTTGAAGTGCTGACCTGTGGTGTGATCAGGGGAACTCCCACGTTTTGCTAGCATATTTTCTCCTCTTACGCTGACACACATTATACTTTTTTCAATGAACATTCTGCCTAATATTTGCATGCAAAGCACCTGGAAGAGGTAAGCTATTAGAATCGGGTGATCTTGAACATAAAGATGCCTTTTCTGGAGCCCTCCGAGACCCAAAGTGTTGAACTTCTTGAGAAACATCATTATATGTTCACCCCATTGCTTTCATAGACATCTGCCATTGTCCACTGCCAAATACAATACACAGAGAAGATGAACCACCCAGTGTGGGCATTATGATGCTCTAACCTCAGGTGGAAACACATATTGCATTAACAGACAACACAACACCTAACATGACATGAAATAAGAATCTGTAAGAAAGAATTACCTACATTTCTGAGCATGTGTTTAGATGTAAACCCCGAGCAATGCACTAACTTGTGACTTGGAGATAAACCAAGCAGCCAGCATCCCAAATCCAACTTCCTTTCCTGATCCAGTAGTTGGTAAATTGAGATCTGGAGTTGGACAAAAACTACCAACTGCACCCTTCTCCCAAGGGGTTTTCAAGTGAATTGGTCTGGTACTTGGCATCTGTACTAGATGTTTTATATAAACTCTTACTTGTTCTAACCCAAGTTAGAGATATTCAGAATGGATGGAGGTCCATGTCCTTCAAAATCTGAAACACATTTAGTTTGTGTACAACAGGCCTCTTTCTGTGGTTTGCTAATATATTCTAGACATTCTTCTGTGATACAGCATCATTTCACACTCTTCAGAGTGCCAGGTTACTTTCTTTTTTTGAAAAGTGACATTTAATAAGAAGATGTCATTAATCTGAGTCACCAGTTTATTTCTGCGTGCTTGAGCTCTGGTTTGTGGTTGGGGAAATGGTGACAATCGGTCATAAATTTAACTTGGACTCTGTGTGAAGAGGACTATTAGGACAGGAATTACAAAAAAAAAAAATCCAACAAACTGAAGGTAATGAATGGCTTGCAGTAGGAACGGGACCCTTAAGGTATCTATTTTCAAAAGTGACCAGTGGCTTCGCGTGCCTCAGTACTGGGTATCCAGATGCTGATTAATAAGCCTTGGCTTTCAGAATGAGGGTGCCTACTCATTTTTTAAAAATGAGTCAGCCCTCCAAAATAAGCACTCAGAAAGAGAGACTTCCAAAATCAATAATAAACATGAAAAGCAAAACAAAAAACCGTGTCACAGAATTTGATTCAGCAGCACTAAAAAAAATGAAGCTCTGTTTTTGTGCTGTACAAAGGCAAAAGAGCTGATGTTTCAGTGCTTCATCTTCTCTTAATATAAAAGAAAGAAGTTGTTTCCAGCTGACTCTGTGCAGCTGGAGGAATGTTCTTGGCAGGAAAATGTTTGAAGAAATAGCTCATTTTAAGCAAATATTGTGGAATATTTATAAGAAACTAATTTTGTCTTCACAATCATGTGTGCTTGCTCTGAAACTCGACTCCTGGAATTATGGTCCCCCAATAACAGGATTTTATCAGCAGCTCAGATTTGGGATATTTGCAGCAATGTGCAGTGCTGGGTAAAAAACTAAATAACAAATCCTCCTGTTTGTGGACTGGGCAAACAGAAAGGCAGAGTCTATCTGGCAAACAGACTATTTGCTGGGAGTTGTCTGTTCAGATTCAGCATGTGAACACGATATACCAATACTGTTTCCCTGCCAGTTCTAAAAGTCCCTTGAAAAAAAAAGACATCAGATGGCTCATTTTGCTGTATTCTAAAAATATCAAAGGCTCTTAAAGTCATTTTTATAAAGTAATATGGAAGTTAAGGATTAATTGAACCCACTGGCTTAGGGTATCTGCATTTCTGCAAAAAATTAATGTGACAAATTAAGTTTTTATTTAGTTCTCCCTGGCTGAGAAAGGTTGTAATTACGTTAGAGTGTTTACAGCTAAAATATATGTTTAAATAATAAATACGTGTTTCAGAAACCATTTTAAACCTCCTTTTTAAACAGTGTACTCCATTTCAAGCATATAAATATTTCAATTACAAAACTTGAATACATGTAAAATAAATTAAAAATATATTATTTACACTTCAAATTATTTATAACATATGCTGCTTGACATCAACAAACACACCCTTAAAGTGAACGATATTTTTTGGTTTTTAGCTTTGCTTCTCAACAGTGGTAGGATTTATACTTTAAATATCCATGCATCTCAAGTACTTACATGGGTTTTGCTATAATAAAATCCAAGCAATATAGGATCTTTATGATAATTATCTTCCCAGCACCTCTCTGAAGAAGGTGACTAATCTTATTACGATGTTGGAGAAAGGGAATTGAACTTTAAGCAGATTATGTGATTTGCCCAAGGTCCTATGCAAAGTCTGTGGCAAAATGATACTTAACTTCGACTGCATCCCCCAAACCATCCGCAATTGCAATCTGAAGTGATACTGGACAAATCCATGTGAACACACTTCACAGTGCTCACTCTTTTCCTTTAGTTTCCTCCTGTCTAACTTTGGTTTAGATTTTATGCAGCCCAGTTAAAACCATGTGTTCTTTGGATACATGAAACAACAGGGAGAAATCAAGAATTCTTGTTGAATTCAATTACAAAATAAGCTGTTTGAAACCAGGTCTGTCTGGCAGCTTGCGATGGACCTGCTCCAGGTTTAAAATCATACTGATATTCAGAAAATGGGTAGTTCAAGTCTACACTACTAAAGTAAAGCAAAAATATTCTTCCTGAGCACTGAAATAAGCCAGACATTTTTAGACGTGGGAAGGCAAATGAAAGAACTTGTTTTGTATTTCGTATGTGGTTGGTATGAGTAATTTCAATTATTTATACATCAATATCACTTAGGGGTTATTTAGACAGCTGATGCCTTTCTGCACTTGTTGACCATGTTTGTCTGCTTCTTTTAGAAATAATCTCTTTTCCCCTATAGAATTTTCTATCATTCTCATGGGTTGTGAAATTGAGAACTAATTCTTTAAGGGAGAGATAGTGGAATAGTTTTGACTCAAAGCCGACCTGCAGCCCGTTACAGCATTCACAGCAACAGACTGACTTTGATCTGGGCCCCATCTATAGTGTTATTAATTTTATGACAAGGATTTCTAAGCATCATCAACAATGTTTTGACCGGCACTCACTTACCTGAGGTTAGGATTTGCCAATTAATGGCTTCCACTAATAAACAGAATCAAGATTTATAACGAAAGATCCAATTCTGCAGTACCAAAACCAGAGCAATTTCCTCCCAGCCTCTTCACCTTTCCTTTTAAAATGTCTGTAGCCGTAATGGCTTCAATCCTTACACACAAAATGCTTACACTGGACCCAAGGGGCACTTTCATGATCACATGAGGGTTTCAGAATGGGGCTCATTTAAAATATCTCCTTTTCTGCAATGCCCTTTCATCCACACTTGTCCTCAAGTTGAAGAATGAGATAGAGGGAGAACCGTGAAGCCCATGAAGGACATTAGAGGATACTCTTCATATGGATATAAACACTGCTGTATGTGCAATAGAATCAGTAGGAAGAATGCACTGGATATTAATTAAGCTATAATATTGATTTAATATCTATAAGATATAAGGCAAAGGATCAGAAGCTCCTCATGTCACTAGGCAAGAATTGTTCAGTCAGTTTGGAAAGGCAGGTCTGTCTCTTAGCTTGTTTATTCCAGTACTACACTCCTAAAAATATCTTTTTTTTTTTTTTAATTAAAACTTCCAATATTCTTTCAGAAAGCCATATAGGCAAAACTTAAACCTTTCCTTTGAGCTGCCATCCCACGCCAGAGAGGCCAGTGGGAATTCTGCCCATGAAAGTGGCTATTTGGGTGGTGCTACCTGGGACTTGACATTCCACAGACTTATGAGGACTATCAGACTCCATATCTAATACTGTGCCTGGAAAAGAGAAGACTTAAGTAGCTAGGAGAAGCAGCAACAGTAAAAATGGATGAGAAACAAAGAAAGGAAGGTTTACTCAAGTCATAGAGGACTTGATGGACAACAAGGCTGTATTTTTCATGCAGATACAACACTGAATGTACACTTTCAGGACATGCCATTCTGAGGCGCTGAATTTCTGCAATCTCCACTCAGTTGAGCTGCAGCTACAAGCAGCCAGATTCCCTGGAATGCAGGATCACTTAAACGTTTGTTTCCTGTGGGCCTCTAGCTATTGTAGTGCAAAATGCAGAATTATTCACACAGACATTTATCCTTTCCTTTTCTTGAGGGAAAAAAAAAAAAAGACACAACTAAATTCTGAGCCAGCGAGAGGGGATGCAAATCCCCTGGTTCTAATGTAGTTCTGCCACAGGTGCATTTGTCTAATTATTTACATAAAATTGAATGAGGAAACTATTCATATCTAAGCATTTGTTGCTGACTTAGCATGTGGCATAGAAAAAGGACAGGAGAGCTGTAAGCTAGACAAAGCTATCAGACATTACAGTTCAGACAACACCTACCTCACTCCAAACCAGCATGGTGCCGAAGATGACCTGTAACCCATCAAAGAAATTGTCTCCTATGATGATGACAGTGGCACCTCCTGTAGTCCATCCTTCACTTGGACTGATGGCTTTGATACATGGTGTAGCTGCTTTTCAACACACATGAAAAAGAGAAGTATTCTGCTGTTAGAACCAGATTTTAATGATGGAAGAATTGAGAAAAATAAAATAAAAAGAGCTTTCATTTTTCCCCCCTTAGTAACACAAGGATTTCAGCAATTGTGTTCTTTTTAGTACCTTTCCATGACCTCCAGCTTCCAATCTTTGGAAGCTTTTTTTATTTTTAATTAATTTGTTTGGGTTTGTTATCCACGTTGAAAAAAATAATAACTTTTATAAGCCTAGAAAAAGGTAATATATTTTATATATAAATACAGATAGATAAATAATAGATCACAGTATGATGAGCAGAGACCAACTGGAAGTTAGAACAAATCTCTACTTTTTTTTGTACACGAAATGCAGAATGCCTGAATTAATAAAACAATCTTCAGAGAGCTCGGTTTATTATCCATCATAACCTAAATTAATCAAGGAAACTCCCAGAAATACTATGCAAAATATTGGCTAAAAAAACCACCAAAGGGTGTAACCCTCACCATTTCTTTACGTTGTCTGCCATCAGATCCAGGTTGTTCTGGTATTAAACCATCCTGCCCTGCATAATGCTGTAGCAACTACAGAAAAAACTTCACAAAGCCAGAAACCACCATCCTGCCACCTCGTCACTCCACTTATGTTGTGTCTACTGGGTAATTAAGAAGTGTGTGCAATGCATTTCGCCTTATTCATACAGTCTGTCACCACTTTCATGAGCCACTTTCTTGGCAACACATGTACTAAGTGCCTCCTGAGGGGATGTTGAAAACTCAAGCAGAACTTAAAGGAGAAAGCTCAAATCTAGGTGTAAGATCATCTGTATTAAGACTATGAAAGCTGAAGCACTGTCAGCTTTATATACTGGTGGGGTAGGGCAATAAAAACATCCACGGGCTGATTCTCCTCCTCTGCAGTACTGGAGTACATCAGAATTTAACTGTTTTGAGCCCAACAGAATAACACTATTGTAAAAACAACCTGAGCAGGCCAAAAAGCACTGGGTAACTCTCAGCTGTTGAGTCTCAGAGTGGCTGTATAGGTTGATGAAAACAAACGGCTCCAACTCAAATGCTACCTACTTCTCCTTGCTAAAATACAGGAGAGAGAATTATGATGCCACATCCTTAGATACTGCTTGAAGTAAAAAGAGCATCTGAACAATTTCATTAGCCACAAGAAAGATACCTTAAGGGGCAGCAAAACTACACCAGTCAGCCTCTGTGCTCAAAAGGCACATTTTTCCTTTTGATGTGAACCACTCCTGAGCTCAGAGAAGAGGCTGGCTCCATGAAAAGTACAAGAGAGGCTGCCATTGCCTGCACTACAGCTACAGTGTCATTCGGGTGTCAGTCAACACAGCTTCATTAGCTGTGCATATATCTGCACATAAACCTCTTCTTGTAAGTTGCTGGCACTTGGCTGTCCATTGCCATTTGGTCAAAAGGCTTGTTTGGTTTGTAATGCTGAATATTTGCTGAAATACTCAAGGGAGAGCTTTCATAAACTTATTAAAGAAGGATATAGTAGGAAAACAGGAGGTATGAAAGTCACCTGCATATTAACACAATCCAAGATAGAACCCTTGCACCCATGAATTACTTAACATTGCTGAGTGGTGGCACAGCCCCTGCCCTGCTTCGCTTTAAACATAAGGACAGTAAATTCATTAATTCACAGAAGCATGCCTTAAAGTGCTCCAAACATAAAGTGCTAAAGAGACACTGTGCATCTTTATGATTATCTAGTAGGGTTCCGCTTGGTTGGAGTTAATGCCTTCCTTCATCCCCTGGGCAGGACAGGCAGCATGAGAGGGAGCTGGGAAGGGAGCTGGTGAGTCACCCTCAGTAGTGTTACTGTGGGCTCTGCTGCAGACTTGCAACACCAGTGATGGAGAGCATTCATGGTGAGCAAACAGACCCTGTTCCCACCTACAAAAGGTTCTAAGCGTCAGGCACAAAGTTTTCCACTACTTCAGCTGGTGGGGATGCCAGCACCAGTGAAAAACACAAACACACACATGCTGAAAAAAAATCATTACTCTGCTTCAAACTTGGCAGAGCACAGCCATTAAGTTTTACATGAGCTAACAAAAGAAACATCCTAACATTACCATCATGAAAATGCAGCGCACACACAGAGGTAACTTCAATATGTTTAATTTGGATTCAAGTTACTTGCATAAAAATGTGCATAAAACCATTGCAAAGTCCAAAACCAAATGCTTTCCTTTCAGCCGAGCTCATAGCAATGGTTCACAATGAAAGCAGCTTTTGAAAATGCCATCTAGCCCTTTCACAGAATCAAACCTTTTCATAAATAAAAAATAAAATCACTTCCAAATTACACTCTTTCTACTATTTCCAGTCAATTGTGGACACACACACCACCATAAAACCCAAAGATAACCATTTTCCCATGTGTTAGAGAATGAGCTACTTTTCTTTAAAGACTATAGGCAACATTTTTTTCCTAAATACCAGTGAATAAAAACTGTTTAAGACCATACCCCATTAACGGAAAACATATGCAGGCTTCAAAATTATAGAATCAATTCATCTTTAAAATGAATGCAAGACACTGTTGTGCCGTTGCCAGTCCCCACCAAAGGTCTTGCTGTTTGTCCTGTGATCTTTGCTGCAGTAGCTACACTACCCTCACTGCAAGGTGTAAGGCTGCATGTGCTGCTTTATGTGTTTGATTCTCATCTTTTATAAATGTTGCACTTCGATGAATCTGCTGGCAACTGCCCAGGACATTTCCGAGGAGGAGGAAAAGTCAGGACTGGGTTTTTTTAATAAGTAAGGCAGTTTTGTATCCGCCACAGGAAAAACCTGAGGAGCAACAAGAGTACTGTGCACTCCCACAAAATGTGGTATTATTTTTCTTTGGGACCAACACAAAGAGCAGTGGAACTTCCCAGCTTTCCTCACGCAGCTCTGTCTTTTATCTTAAAATGCACATCTCTGTAAAGATTGGAAGGGTTGCATGAAGGTGCTTCCCCACAAAGGAATCACAGAATAGAGTCATACAATCACCAAGGTTGGAAAAGACCTCCAATACCACCTAGCCCAACCATCCACCTACCACCAATATTTCCCCACTAAACCATGTCCTTCAGTACATCATATGAATGTTTATAGAACACCTCCAAGGATGATGACTCAACCACCACCGTGGGCAAATATAATCATAGAATCACTAAGGCTGGAAAAGACCTCTGAGATCATCTAGTCCAACCATCCACCTACCACTGATACTGCCTACTAAATCATGTCCCTAAGCCATGCTGATGGCTGCAACCCAAGGACGCCCAAGGAGACATGCTGACGGAGGCATCCAGACTGCTGCCTGTTTTTGGAGGCACAAAACATGTTTATACAATGACCACTTTGTGACAGCTGGTGTTGTTTGGAATGTTGGTCTTACTAAATTCTTTGCACTTCCCAGGCCCTTTCCACGGAGCACCAGGAAGCAGGATGGAAGAATCGGGTACCGTTTGCCAGCATCGGCAGCAGAAACATCAGGAGGATGGCAATGCTATGACCTCAGCTCTATTTATGCCTCAGGTACACACGTCTGGCCAGCACAGGCCCTCAGCTCTTCATACTTCTTCTGTTAACCATCTGGCAACTTTCAAAGCTGTCTGGAAGGTGTTTACTTCTGTGCAACCCTAGAAAAACAGAGCTAGGCAGAATCGTCTTTTCATTGCGGACCTCAATTTTTCTACGTTTTGTTTTGGTCACAAGAGAAATCAAAGTACAGATCATTTTAGGAACAAAGTCCCAGAATCTCCATCCAAAATTAGCTATAATGCTTTTTAACCAAGAAAAACAAAACATTTTGTTTCAAAATATTATCACATCAGATGACATTTTGTAACATCAGGGCATCATTTTTGAAATGGTGTTTTAAAAACAAATAGAAAAAAAAGCTACATCAAATTTGTGTTCTTCTGTAGAACAAAAAGATTTCAGTTGGGAAACCAAAACTTTACTAATGAAGATTGCACAGTAAAAGACTTCAGGCCAGTTCCAATAATGGCAGTGAAGTAGAAGGATGGATAGCATGGACAGACTGTTATTTCAAAGAAGATTATAATAAAAATTCTTATATATCAACATTAAAAAGAAAACAGAACACCAGCTGGGAGCTTGCTTAACTGGAACAAAAAGAGTTTGGTAGCCTAACTATCAGAAAAGTTTTAAATCAATTCTCTGTGGCCTGGTATTAGTCAACACATGCTTTTCAAATTCCACTGGACTAAGGAAAAACCCTTCAGACTGCAGGTGTGGACCTCACACACCTTGGGAAGCTGATGTGGCCACATCCTCCACCCACTGCAGTGGCTCAGTGGTTATGAGCCTTAATGAGCCGCTCTCCTCCTTCGCATACTATCAAGACAAATCAGTGTTGACATCTGACTTATTTTATTACACTGCTACTTCAGTTTTAATTAACAGACATAGATTTTAGAAGGAAGAGTCCCAAACTTATGGAAACCAATAGGAATTTTGCTGCTGCCTTCAAAGCTAAGTTCTCTATCAATAAACTTTAAGGATTTACAGGCTAAAAACTTTAATGAATTTCAAGAGCAATGTCCTTTTCAAGTCTTCACGTTCCCTTAGAATACATGCTGCTAAAATCTTGCCATCATCCATACAAAGGGTGATAGGTACCAACTCAGCAAACTGTGAGCAAGAAGGAAAAGTTTTGTGCTGCGTGTACCAGTGGGTTCCAGTGCTCCTGTGCTCCCCTAGCTACTCATATATCGGGGATTTTTCTTCCTTCAAACGGTGACAATAAAATGATTACCCCTCCACAGTTTAGCATAATGGTTCAGAAACGCTCGTGGCATATTGCAGAGTTAAAGTGGAAATTATTAGGTAGCTCTTCTTTGTTATAATAATGATCACTCCACAAATAAAAGCTCTTCTCCCAAAGGTACTGCAAGGCACAAAATGCTAATTCTGAAGATTATGTGTGCGCTTTT